TGGAAATTTCAATGGAAATATCGGGATATTATCGATATCGATAAAAATTGAATAAAAACCACGAAAATTTTTATTGAAACTTTGGAGAATATTTATTTAGTCAATTATCTATTAGTTTATCACAAAAAATTAGAAGGCAATGCATTGTATGATGGAGTTAACTGATTTAAGTTGATTATACAGCGAGCTGGCAAACACTGTGAGTGTAGAAAATATGTAGTAATTAATGAAAAAAGATTAAACACACCATAATCATTTATATATAATGATTTACTACAATATTTTACACGTTATACATTGCATGGTAAGATACATGAGTGACTTAGTACCACATAGAGTTCCTATGAGGTTCAAAATTTTCACTATGTTCATCATCTCTATGTGTAGAGTAAGTGTATTGTGAATAGTAGTAATCAAATGATAAATCCCCAAAATAGTTTTTCATGTAATTGTTAACATGCCACCCATATGGATCAGAGATTGGTTGACGTTGTCCATAAGCAAAATCATTTGAAGATTGAGTCTTGGATTCTTTCCATGAGCCGCTCGATTCCATCCCAAAAAGGAAAGATCAAAGATTCATTCTCATGTGAAAATTTGATTCTTGCAAAAAGAATTCAAAACAAAACAATATAAATATATGGTAGGGGTTCAAATCCCCTTTGTGTTTTTTTCCTCCCTTTTCCCCCTTTTTTTTCCTTTTTTTTTCTTCCCATTACATCGATATTTTCGATATTTTCGATATTATATCAATATTATAGCGATATTTTGACAAAATATTGCTAAAGTGTGAGCGAAATTATCGACATCGATATTTTCCGATATTATCGACATCGATATTTTCCGATATTATCGATATTTATATGATATGTGCATGAATACGTTCCGAAATATTTATGATTCAAAAAAACGATAATATCCTCGATATTTTGTTTATATTATCGATATTTTATGATTGTAGCTAATAGAAGGGTGCGTTTTCCAACATTTAAAATTGACCACGCCCTTTTTTGGGTGAAAACCAAGGTATCCCCCGCGCGATTGCGGGGACTAACCCTCGAGGTACTGTCGGGCGCAAAGCGGGGACCTCTCCCAACTTTGTGGGTGCCATGATCAAATTTTTTTTTTTTAAAGCACAGATGTGCAGCACATGTAGTTAATATAGGAGGAAAGGCATGTGGCTTCTGCCCCATTTTACAATGGTGTGGTCCGAAAATTTCCGATCAAATGTAATTTGAGAATTACTGTTGAATCTTATCCGAGGATTTCTAACTTCGACGTCTTAGAATTAAAGTTGTGAAATTAGATGTAAGTTCTGAAAATTATTACGATTTTTTAAATTGATAAATTCTAATTTTTTAGAACTACCGCGATATATTTCAAAATTATAACATTATATCAAAATGGTTATGTGTCTTCATTTTATTGAAGAGGGTGAGAAGTACAAAAAAACCAAGGGGATCTTCAAAAAATTTCAAACCTTTCATGATATCAGAGTAAAGCTTCACGTGTTTGGCTCAACATCCACACGTGTTCCCACATCATCCAATATGTGTTGTTCACGTGTTAGGTTTGAAATTTCGCCACATGTGCATGAGCGTGTTGAGAGTATTTGTCCCGTATTAAAATATTAAAAGGGACTTAGTTTGGGTTTATAAGGACTTAGGCTACTCTCCCATTGCCAATTAATTTTGAAGTGAAACCTCAACTTTCTTCATATCTATTATATATAATACACTACATGAACTGATATCACAAAGTTCTAATCTATTATATCCTTCCACAGCCCAGTTTTGTTTAGCTTCGATGGTCCATCCAAACCCTAAACATCCTAAACATAAGCTTCACGATAAACATGCTAGTATTACAATTACAATAAAGTTATGTTATAAGTGAGAGCAACTTTATCCAAGTTGATCGTGATGAGAGATTTCATAGACTCTTCAATAAAAGATTAAAATTGATCCAAGTTGAAGGGAAGATGGAATTCAAAGGAAGAAAGTTAAACTGGAGTGGACCAGAGTAATTAGTTGGAAGGCAGGCGTTGGCGATTATTGAAGAATAGAAGCTGATGAGCACCAGATGAAAGGAGACGGAAAAGCAGCCCAAGTGATGTATGACGCACACTTATGACTCGAAGAAACTTGTTAGAAGCAGAACGTTGGTATTAAACAAAGAAATGTGGTGCAGGCAATTGGCCTTGGAAGAAGAAGGCTTGATTGTGAAAGGAGAAGTAGAGAAGCAGTAGCAGTTTAGGAAGGAACAAAATAAAATACTTTTCAACTTCCCTGGCCCCCGAATGACCAAAAAAATAGGAAAAAAATTCCAGGTTCAACTTCATATCATTCCAAGGACCTTTTTTTTGTGGTGGGGGACTAGGTCAGAATGCAATTGGTGTACGGCAACTAAAACCTACGTTCCGATGTCTTCTTGGTTAGATAGGTCCTCAGGTGGAGCCAGGAATTTAAGAGGGGGCACTCTTAAAAATTCAAGTACTTTCCTTTATGACAAATCAACCTAGTTTTTAAGAAATCCTTAATTCTCTATTTTTTGTACGAATAACCTATCACTCTTTTATGATAACAAATACTTGCAATTCAAAAGAAATTTAGACATGAGAATGAAAAAGAAGCAAAAATGGCGGGTATTTAAGAATTTGTGAGGAATTTTATAATATTTTTACAATATCACTAACATATAATTGTTTATACAACAATATTTGAGAGGGGGCCAGTGCATGCCCACCTTGGGCATGTATTAGCTACGCCAGTGGCTATAGTATGATAGAGAGAAGACTTGAAATAATAACAAAGTCAGTCACCTCAATATATAATTTTATGTCCTATTTTTTATTTTTAATATAAGTAATAGTCTAAACTAGCTACAGGGAAGGGGGTTTCTCACATACACTGCAAAGGTGTCATGGGAATTCGAACATAAGATCATTGATCTACAAATAAAGTCAATATTTTACTGGGCTAGACCCCATTGATAGATTGGTTTTGAGTTAGATGTTCTAAAAGCATCTACAATGGACTCCCTAAATCACCTCCTTAGACAAATTTTAGGGAGGCATTGTAAAAATGCAACTCCAACCATGCTCCCTATCCACCTCCTAAAATAGGGAGTCCTCTAGGAGCTCCTAAATCTGAGGAGAGAGAAAGGACTCCTAGTGGCTCCCTATAATTTAATGCTGCCTTATTTAATGAGTTTTTGAAACCTTTCTTTAATGCTAACTATTTTTTATTTTATTTTTTAATAGAGATGAACCAATCAAAAAAGAGTTATAGCATTTATGACTCTCCAAATTAGGGAGTATGGTTGGAGTTGAAATTTTTTAGAGAGCTCCTAAAATAGCTTTATTATATTTTTAGCTAAATTTTAGCTAAGAGAGAGAGAGAGAGAGAGAGAGAGAGAGAAGCTTAGGCGTCCGTTGGCCATTGGGGTGTGATGCTTTTGGTTTCATTCTTCTGGTTTTCTCATCATGTCGCTAGCTCTAGTTGTACAATAATGTCAACTTCGCTTGCAGATGAATGGTCCTCAAATCAATGCCGAAAGTGTCGCTAAACATTTTGACAAGAGACATCCAAGCCACGTGTTCATTTTCGGCAATGATCTCAATGTTTAATTCCAATTCCTTGCGAGAAAAAATTTGGCGAAAGTGATACATGAAAATCTTCTGGCTAACTATTCAACTCAAAATAAATACTTTGAAAGAGGAAGGGACATATACCATCTAGAAATTAATATTTGATGAAACATGCCCATGATCCATTAAAACGTCATCTCTTAGGTGGCTTGGAATAGAATTTGATGGTAGATTAGGGGTAAGGGGCTTGTATCTCAAGTGGTTAACAACAGTTATTCCTATATTTGGAGTTTTGTGTTCGAATCTCTCTCTCTCTTAATATTTATTGTACAAAAAAAAAAAGTTGACGAAAGCATTAGTTTAAATGTCTATATCTGACGTATTTTGTTTGAGTTGTGCTCAAAAGATTCCCCAAAATGTGGCAAGGTAGAATATATTTATTGACGATTGTCAAGACTTGAACCGAAGCTTTCATGTGCTATATTAGACAAGGAAAAAAGCAGAAAGTGTCATATATCCCCACAATATCTCATACCAAAAATCAAATTATGGCCATAAGTCATAACATTATCAAGCTCTAAATGATAATATAAACTAAGAAAAATGAAACTATTGAAGCCTGCCGCAGACATCACCTTTGTAGAAGATAATGTTTGAGAGAATATGCTTATGCATCCACGTACAACTCATGTCCTTGTCGTCTTCGTCTTCTGATTATGTTGGTGTGTAGAAGATCGTTTTTGGAGGCGGCAGTGACAAAAAGATACCTCTAGAAACTCTTGCTATATATGCAACACTGCAAAATTAAGGCCCAAACTCGGGTTGGGTGGGTTGGGTCAGCCCAATCCATTGATTTGCTTGAGCCAAGTTGTAACCCATTGAATTGGACAAACGAGTTGGTCAGCCCAAAAATAAGCATATATTTTTCGACTCATTGAACAAAGAGGAGTCGTTCAGGATTCAAGGTTTAATGAAATGATGATTGGCTAATATGAAGATTCACATCTATAGTTCATATATGGCACTTCACTATAGAATTTCGGGAACAAAAAGAGGGAAACAAAATCAATGATTTTTGGACAAATAATAGAATCACAGCATATACACCTCTGTCCATCCAGATTGATTTTGAAATTGAAACTTAACATCATTGGCAAAAAACAATAGTAATTCTCGTACAAACAATAGAACCACAACACCTACATATCTGTCTTTTGAAGATTTTTGTTTTGTTATATGAGATGAAGGGCCCTCACCAAAAGTCTGGCAAATGCCACAAAAGAGAAAACCAGGGAGCTGATGATTAACAATGGAGCTGTAAAGAAAGTGACAACAATAGAAAAGAAAAGCAAATCACAAAAAGTGAAAGACCTTGTGTTTATCATTGATCATTCTTGGGAGGGATGTAGCTGAACCCCAAGACATGTCATCATTGCTGCTCCTTGCTCCTTTTTTTCTTTTTTTTTCTTTTTCTTTAGCAACAAGAAAAGAATTATAAAGATGTACAGCCATAGAAGAACACAAGAAGAAGTAGAACAAGTAGGCTTATTTGCATCACTCACCTCTAGTTTTAGTCCCAATGGCAGTCTCACCTGCACCCGTCTCCGAAAACCCCATTGATTTTCGTGCCCCACCGCCTTCTCCCATCGCCTCAGGCCGCCGATCATTAGTCACAAACGATGAAGTCCTCACCGAATACCTCGAGCACTCCCTCCAAGTCCCTGACCTCATTTTGCCAGACAAGTTCTTCCCTAAACAAAATTCACTTGAAAATCCCCCCACTATTGATTTGTTAGCTTTGAATCTGGATGAGTTTGATGCTAGTCTTTGCAAGGTTGTGGAGTCCATAGCAAGAAACGGGTGTTTTCAGCTGGTGAACCATGGAATTTCAAGTGAGCTTGTGAGCTCTGTGCAGGCTGCAGCCACCGGAATCTTCCAGGTACCGCCGGAGAAGAGGGCGGAGATAACCCGGTTACCAGACAAGCCATACGGGTTCGAGGAGGTTCATGGTGAGGAGGCTGGCAGTGAACTGAGTGAAGAGTTCGTTTGGTGTAGAGACCAAGATTTGAAGTTGACAATGGAGAGAATTGCACCAGTTGGATATTCAAATTTCAGGTAATTAACAAATAAATGCAATTAATTGGCTTTTGTTTGTTTTTATGAAACCAATTAGGATTACAATTCCAAACTTCTTGATTTTGCAGTGAGAAACTGGAGACCCTAATGACAGATATTGAGAAGGTTTCTGGGAAAATCCTACCAAGCTTATTGAAAAATTCTCAAACAAAATTCGTTTATGGAAATGATGATATGGTGCAAGGGAAAGAACTTGGGACAGTCTGTTGCCTGTACAAGCACAGCCAGAATGTTTTAGAAGACGAATGGGACAGCTCTTTAAGATATGATGTGATTAAGATGTTGATAAGAGGAACTGATTATTCTCATGCCTTGTGTTTGCATCTTTGTGATGGTTCTTCAGAGTTCCATGTTTACTCCAAGAAAGGTTGGGTTTCTTTCACCCCAGATAAAAATGCTCTAGTAGTCACCACTGGGGATCAAATTCAGGTAAATTAAATTTAACTTTGGTTATTGTTATTTACTGGGACCAAGGGAGGAGACCAGTTAATCTAATAATAAAGCCAGAATGATAATTACTTTGTCTCTCCAGATGGCCTATTGCTTTAGTTTCTATTTACTGTGTTTTTAAAGTTGTGTAAAAGTTGCACTAAAGTCATGTTCTCCCTTGCGTTGTAGCAGAGGTATATGATGGCTGCAAGCCCACCATCATGGCGATTAGTATCTTCGACCATCATTGCTTTCTGTATTTTATATCCAATGCCACCTATGTGGGATGGTCTAATCATAGGACAAAAAATGTTTTAATATATAGTTAGAAATATCTTCTCTTATCAAATTATCCGTCATATTATGTTGTTAAATTTTCAATTTAAACAATTTAAATTATTCATTAAGCGTGTGTTTACTTGGAGTGGGGTTTTATATTGTTAGTCTAGCAGCATAAGACGCCAGACTGTCTCGTAAGCGAACATTACTGTACATATATGAACTGTTTGCTTTGTTCTCTTGCAGGCATGGAGTGGTGGCCAGTATAAGCATGTGATAGGAAGGCCAATCTTTAAAGGTGAGGAGGACTGCATCTCAATGGCTTTTCTCTATTCTCCTCCAACCTTTATTTCAAACTCCCAAAGCAACAAGGAAAAGACTATATCACTTGGTGAACAAGCTATAATGGCCATATTTTTAACTCTTGTCTACCAATTTTTAGTGTACTTCTACAGAAATTTCTGATGTACGTTGGCAGTTAATAAGGATTATTATACACATTTGTTCCTCAAAAAATGGACAACATTTTACTCTCCTTTGGTAAAAGGTCTATTTGTGATATGTTTTCTACTACAATGCTTTCGACAGTACTATATATGTTTTTTTTTTTTGGCCAGTCCTTATTAGTCCCATCTTTTTAAGTGAGACTTGTAACTTGTAAGACACAATATGTTGGATTGTTGTCCATTTTAATAAGTCCAGTCCCAGCGCACATAACAACGGCCAGAACTGTTGTCCATTTTAATTAAAATAGTCCAATCCAGTCTCACCCTCCAAACGGGTATGTTTACTTGTCTAATTTAAGTATTACCAATTTTCAAAATGATTGCTTCCATATCACGGACCAATAGTTAGGATGTACGAATTTCACAAAAAAAATGACTAGTAATTTGGTTGATATGGGAAACGATCAAAACTTTTGAGTGGCATGCTCAAACCAATGCACGCAAAATAAAGTTGTTCTATAAGTACATATAAGGATTGGCCAAACCAAAAAAAAAAAAAAAACTACAACATAAGGTTTTTGTGAAAATTGATGAGCTCATTACACTTCTTTAAAAATATTAAACCAAAAAAAAAAGGTTTATGGCGAATAGATTGTAGCCCTTTTTTCAAAGGAGAAGCTCGCAAAGGAATTAAAGCTCGTTAAATTTGAACTAATCTTGAGTACAAATACAATTCGCCTAAGATCAACACAACTTTTTTTTTTTTTTTCCAACAAATGAACTTTCCTTTTTATTAAACAACAAGAGGCATGATCTTATTGAGAAACCACTTCGTTGGTATAAATACTAAATTAATTACAAGAGAATATTTGAACTTTCTCTTTTATTTTTTATTTTTCCTATTGTGTTGAAGCAACAAAAATGCATGTTTTGGTTTCCTTGTAACTTGTTAGCAAATTCTTACCAGGAAAATGTATGTACATTTTTATGCTAAGAAAAAATTAGAATGCACTTAGACTACAAGATGTACTCAGTTAATTTTAAAATTCGTTTAGCAGCACTCCAAAGAATAATAAAGTAAAACTAATGGAATAAGTTTGAAACTTAGGATTGTAATAGATGTTTGATCCCTCGAACATAACCAAGCGAAAATTGAAACAAAAAATATGACTCACCCTTCTTGTTTAGTTATGGAAAAAAAAAAAAAAAAACAGAAGACAGGTTTTCAGTTGCCGTGGCAGCTTTCAATTGGCCACTGGATCAGAGAGCCGAAGACATCGTAGCAGCGAATCTAGATTTCTTTCAAAACATCACTTGGGAGTTGAGACTTGAGACACAAAAACCCAGTAGAAAAGGTGACTGGCATGGCATCACTCTCATCTCACTCTCATTTTACATCAGATTGGAATTTAAAATCTCCAGTTCGACAGAGTTGGAAAATTTTGGACAAGAAAAAGAGAACCAATGAATTCTCTATCTGTCTGTATTCACTAATTCTGAGGTAAATTTGTTTGATCCCTTTTTGTGTCTCCTTCAATAGGCACTGTCAACTACCTGCCTCTGATTGCACATCTTAATCTGCATAAATTTCCTCTGTTTTGCTATAAATTCAGCTGCTCTCATGGGTTTTTTTTGTTTTCTGTATGAAGATTGTTGGTGTTGGACTTTTGCTTCTTATGGAAAATTGAATTTCTGCATCAAAACACTCTAACCAGCTTCCAGGTGCATTCCTTTTACTACTAAATTCTTGAATATAATCAGACCAAAAGGAAATATTGGATTTGATGTGAAAGATTGAGGCTTTCTGTGTGTGTGTGTGTGTGTGTTTTATTGGCTGTTATATATATCACACTGTCACCTCACCAAGGAGAGTTGAGGAGAAATGGTTTACCATGAACAATTCATTGGGATAAAGGGTATTTGGCTGAAATACTCTTCATACTTTAGGGGTTGGAACAGTAATAGGAGACATTATAGTCAAAGAAGTAATCTTTCAAGTCTAGGGAGCTCACCATGCAGTAACTCTGTAATATTGTCTTTTCAAATTCTGTATTAAATATTGACTATATTTTGTACTTTAACAGATTATGGAAACGGAAAATTTAACTAAGCATGCAGGACAACAATCCCTTAGTCAGGAGTTTCTCCAAGATCTTGCAACAAGTTTCAGGTGAATTTAGTAATGCTAAACAGTATAGCCTATAGCCTTAATTATACAGAAATATTTGTTATATTTACTTGTTAAAGGAAAAAACGAAAAGAATAACTTCTTAGAGTTAAATATTCATTGCATTCTTCAACACAACAGGGTTTCTTTTATTAAGTTTTTTGCTTTGCTCTGTCTTTTCTGGTGCTAACGGTATTAGTAACATCCATAAAGCTTTAACCACTGGCCGTGCAGCAACATCCTTGTCCGTGTCTAAATGATGTTATTTTGGGACCAGAAATCATACGTTCGCTTATGATATACTGTTACTATACTTTTGATCTGATGACTGGGGATGTACCTTCTTTGCATATTGATTGACTTGGATTCTGCTAGCATGGTGATCTTTGGTCAAATTTACATCTGCTTTGGCTTATGAGGGGTCTTTGATATAAACTTGAATAGGTTCTTCACCTTTTCCACTTAGCTTAGGTAGCCATGACACACTGCTAAGTGTCACTCATGACTTGTGGAAGCCTTGTAAGGTCTAATATATTTAGTCTTCACCAATAGAGAGAATTAAATGATGGGATTTAATTCACGCTCGGTTCGGAGGAATCGAACCTACCCACTACCTTGCTAATTGGAACATATGTTATTGCACACGAATAAATATAATAAGAAGAACACATGAAGAAAATAAGACGTTGAAAGTAATTGTCAAAGTCAACGCATTTGACCAAAATAGTTGACCAAGTCAAATTATTTGGACTATAATTTGAACTTAATGGTTAAGTTACAAATTATAATTAAATTGTTAATTATGGATTTAGTTTGAAGGTGGACTCGGTTTGAGCTTTAAAGTCATTTTGGGCCAAAAGAAAAAATACACAAGGACTCATTAGGCCTAGGAATAAGTGTTGTATGACAACACAATTCAAGTGAGCCCAAAAGGATCCCAAACTAGGGTGGGGCTTTTTTGCTTCATCCCTTGTGGCCTATATAAGACATACTTTAGCCATTTTCTCTCTAGGGTTTGAAGCCTCCAACTTTGGAGTGGGTTTGGGAGGAGAGAAATGTCCAATATGCCATGCTAGAATCGGCCACCAAGAGGAGAGGGCTAACACCTATGTTGCACCGACACTCCAAACTGCTGGAGTGTCGGAGTGTCGGACACTCCGACAAGCGTTGGACACGGTCAACGACTGGGACACGTCAAGACACGCCGCCGACACGGTCAAGACATGGCAGGGACCAGATTGAAATTTTGAAAATAAAAATTGGGGTCTAAACGTGATTTTTGAAACTTTGGTGGACTGATTTGAAGTATTTTGAAAAAGATGGGTTAAAAGTGGAAAAAGACATTTTTAAACCTAAATGAATCAGTTCAGCAGCCACCACTTCAGTCAGTTCCGCGCAGCTCTTCCTCTTCTCCTCTTCTCCAGCTTTTGCAAAGGTAAGTACCTTTTCAATTTTTTTTTCCTTTGTTTTCAAATTCTTTTATGCCAGATGGAATGATTATCCTAATTTTGTTATGATTCGTGTTCTATTGTTCATTGGCTGATTGATAATTGTGAAATGATGCTTGGTTTTGTTTTGAGAAAGTTAAGTCACACACAGGTTTTGGTAATGGAATTGACTTGAGTTGGATTTAATTTGCAATGGGTTTGGTTTCATTTGCTTGTCAGGGTTGATATCAAAGAATTTAGAGAATGCAGGTGTGCAGAATTAGAGGGCGTGTTGTTTTCCAATAACAACAATGAAGACAGATGATTGAAGAAGATTGAGAGTTAGATCATTTATGTTTTATTTTGTGGTGTATTAATTATTATGTATGGATGATGAACATGAGTTATTTATTTTGTTTTATGGAATTATGTGACATTGAAATATTGAGAATTAATTATTATTTTAATTGCCGTGTCCTAGCCGTGTCCGTGTCCTACTTTTTTGAGATTTTCCGTGTCACCGTGTCGCATTCCCGTGTCCCCGTACCCGTGTCCGTGCAACATAGGCTAACACCTCACCTCCTCTTGGTCTTTCTTTTTACGGTAAACTGCCGAATTGCCCCCTGAACTTGTACCTAATTATCAATTTACCCCCTGACCTTTTTATAAAAAAAAAATTAAGGACTCGAACTAAATTTTATTCTCAATTTCCCCCTTGTCGTCTAATTTCTCAATATTTCATTAAATTTTTTGTTAACTCATTAAAAATATATTTTTTGAAAAAATTAAAGAAAAAAAAAACAAAAATGAAAAAAAAATTTCCTATCCCCTTTGCGGTCTTCTTCTCCACCCCATGACCACCATCCCTTCACTCCAGACCAATCCTCCCATCTCCCTCTCTTCATTTTTTTTACCCCCAGACCATTCACCTCTTCCCATCCCCCATCACGGACCCATCCCCATTCCCCCATGACCACCACTGCAAGCCACCCTTCCTCGCATCCCTAGTCCCCACAGAAATCATCCACACAACCCCAACCTTTCAAAGCCTTCAATTTCTAATCAAAACACGAAGGGATGGAGGTGTCTTCGATGACCCAGTCGTTGAGTCGATCTCTAGGTTCGAACTCTGTCAACGAAATGGTGGCTTGCAACTTGGAAAGGTCAAGTCTTTGCCTTCTTCTTGGAATGTCCAGGTGAGTTCTTCCGGGTTTGGGTCTCCGAGATCTCTGGGTTCGAGTCTCCACGCGAGTCAATTCTTCGACACGGTTTATGTAGCCTCCCCTTGAATCCGGCCCGTGTACCAACTCGTTTTGGAATTGGGTATTTGGATTTCTGCAAGGAGGGTTGTGAGGAAGAGCCTGCCATGGAGAGGGTGGAGTCTAGAAGGGGATTGAGGGAAAATATGTTTGAGAGACTAAGGAAGGAGAATTCTCTAGGTCTGGTCGAATCAAGCCCCAATGGTGGTGCTTCTGATGTTGGGTGGGTTTCGGAGCTGGTGAAGTGAGTGGGGCCAAGTGGGCACATATGGGTTCTTAAATGGTTCTCTGATGATTTGTTCATCTCCATCTCTTCCTCCTTTCTCTATCTTTCTCTCTCTCTCTCTCTCTCTCTCTCTTTCCCATTCGAGCTCCCCCCTCCCCTCTGTATCTTTAAGGGCTCGTTTGGTACACAGGATTGGCTTGGACTAAATTTAGTACCATGTTTGTTTTATCTAATCCTAGTCTTAGATGGGATTGCTAATACCGGGCCCACCAAAAACACCTCCTTAGGAGGGGACTACTAATCCCATGTGGAAAGGGAGGATTAGCTAGTCCTAATGGTGACCAATGAATAAAATGCATATATTATATTGTAAAATACATATATATATATTATAAAATATATATATATATATGTATTATACCCATGTATATATGTATATACATATATATATATATATGTGTATTTTATAATATAATATATATATATATGTA